TCGATGTTCTCTCTCATCGATGTTTCTATCTCTCTCTCTCTCCCTCTCCCTTCCTCTCTATGTAAAATCAATAAAGAAAAAAAAATTTTTTTAAGTGGTCTATCCATGCAGTACGATGGAATATCATGCAGTCTTTCAAAGGAAGGACATTCTGACACCTGGTATAATATGGATGAGCCTTGAGATTTAAGCTATATGAAATAAACCAGACGTGAAGGACAAGTATTAAATGGTTCCACTCATATAAAGGGTCAATTCATAGGGATATAAAGAAGAATGGTGAGTGCCAGGGCCTGTGGGAAGGAGGAAGTTGTAGTTTAATGGGGACAGAGATTCAGTTTGGGAAGATGAAAAGTTTTGCAGATGGATGGTGGTGATGGTTGTACAGAAATGTGAATACATTTAATGCAAACTAACTGTACTCTTAAAAATAGTAAAATGACATTTTTGTTATGCAATTTTATCACAATTTTTTAAGAGTATGTTTTTATTGCTTTTTTAGAGAGGAAGAGAAATAGAAACGTGAGAGAGAAACACCAATAGGCTGCCTCCTGCACGCCCCCTACTGGGGATCGAGCCCACAACCCCAGCTTGTGCCCTGACCGGGAATCAAATAGAGAGCAGCTCAGTCCACACCAGCCAGGCTATCACAATTTTTAAAAACCCTAGGGCGAACACTTTGTAAAGTATATAATTGTCTAACCACTCTGCTGTACACCTGAAACTAATACAAAATAATATTGAAGGTAAACTGTAATTGAAAAAAAAATGTTTAATGAGAAAAAGCAACAACTCTAAATCTAAAAAACAAAAAACGAGCAACAGCCCTCCTCCTTCCCCAGAGGGCCCAGGAGCGGAGGATGCGCAGCTGGTCCAGAAGGGGGCGCCTGGGGTCCTCCTGCTCCCCGGCGGCGGCCGCAGAGGGAGCTGCCTCAGTAGGACGAGTCATTGCCGAGCTCCCTTAACTGCACACCTCGCGTGGCCCCTCTTCTCAGTGGCCCCGCGGCCCCTTCCCGCGTTCAGGGTCGCGTGGACAGCGCCATCCCTGCAACGCACGTCATACCCTGGAAAACTGCCCCCTTCCCGAAGCCTTCCTCTAACTCCCAGGCCGGCAGAGCCCACAAGGCTCCCGATTTTATTCTGTTTCGTCTATTTCATCGCTGCTTTCCAGCCAGCCAGCTCCTGGCACCGCTCAGGCTCCTGGACCGCAGGCCGGGAGCTCAGTGCAGACACCCCACCAGCCCTTCTTGAAGGGTCACGTGGCAGCTGCTCCCAGAGAGTCCAGAAACCCTGCGCAGCCCCTCCACCCCAGGCTCCCGATTGAAAGGAAAAGCTTCCTCATCTGAAAATAAATGGAAAAATATCCTCGGGTGAGGATTAGGAAAAAAAATTACTATCTGTTTCATCTATACACTTAATGTTTTGTTTGTGTGTGTGTGTGTGTGTGTGTGCTGGAATAGTTCAAGGTAAATTTTAAACATATATTTTTAACTATAGCTATGTCAGTATGTTTTTATTTTTATTTTTTATTATTTATTTTTTGGTACATGCGCCTAGCGGGAACCGAACCCGGGACTCTCTGGTCCGCAGGCCAACTCTCCAATCTGACCAGGGCTTATTTTTTAATCTGAGGAAGATTTTAAAAATTTTTTTGTTTGTTTTCTTTATTGATTTTAGAGAGAGAGGAAGGGAGAAGGAGAGAGAGATAGAAACATCGATGAGAGAGAACATGGATTGGCCGCCTCCTGCATGCCCCCCACTGGGATCAAGCCCACAACCTGGGCATGTGCCCTGATCTGGAATCGAACTGGCAGCCTCTTGATGCATGGGGTTGATGCTCAACCAGCTAGACTGTCAGGATGTTTTTAAAAGACAAGTTACACACACACACACACACACACACACACACACAATATCATTAACACAGAAAATTGGCAATTTTTATCCACTCCATGTTCAAATTTCCCTGCTTATCTGAAAGATAACATTTTTTATGGTTGGTTTATTTGAATCAAGATATAAACAAGGTCCACATATTGCATTTGATTGATATGACCCCCACTTCTTTCCTCTTTTAATGTAGAGCAACCCTCCTTCCCCCATCTTTATTATGTTGTGTTATTGGGTGAAGTCACCACTTATTTTTCTTGTAGGACTGAATTCCCCACATTCTAGATTTGAGTGATGGTGTCATGTAACATGTTTCTCTATCCCCCTATATTCCTATACACCAGTAGTTAGATTTATGAGCTGGTTTGAAATCTGTGTCTTTTCTTTTTTTCTAAAGGACTCGCAGGTGCTGTTGCTATACTTCTCATTGTTTACACACAGTGCCTGTCCCCACCTTGAGTGACAAGACTAATCAGTTGATTCCTTTGGGTAGTGTCAGTCTGACCCATCCATTTAAAAGAATTGATTAGACTGGCCAGTGTGGCTCAGTGGTTGAGCATCAACCCATGCACCAAGAGGTCAGGCACATGCCCAGGTTGTGGGCCAAATCCCCACTGGGGGGCATGCAGGAGACAGCCAATTGATGTTCTCTCTCATCGATGTTTCTATCTCCCTCTCCCTCTCCCTTCATCTCTCTCTAAAATCAATAAATAAAAAAAATTAACAATAGCCCTGGCCATTTTGGCTCAGAGGTTAGAGCGTTGGCCTACAGACCAGAGAGTCCCGGGTTCGGTTCCCGCCACGGGCAAGTACCTCGGTTGCAGTTTGTCCCCGACCCCGGTTGGGGTTTTGTGTGGGTGGCAACCATTCAACGTGTCTCGCTCACATCAATGTTTCTCTCTCTCTTCCTTCCACTCTCCCTCCCACTCTATAAGATAAATGCAAAAATATTCTTGGGTGAGGATTAAAAAATAAAAAATTCAAATTAAAAGAGCTGATTGACTCTTCATCTAATGCTTTAGCAGCACTGATGATTATTGCCAAGGTTCACTGATAATCATTTCTCTAAGGATTAAAAAGTATTGATCATCTAAATCTATTTATCTTTTTGTATCTATTAGCTGGCATTCTTATATTAAGAAGAACTTCCCTTCCTTAACTAATTGCTTAATCTGAACTACAGTTTGTACAAGAAAGGCAGAGAAATATTGCTGGTTACTTGTTGCTGCTTTCAGTCAAGTCCTGTAAGAGAAGGATGGGTAAGAGGCAGACTAGAGCTGGTCAGTCGGCAAGCGGACGTGGAAGGAAACACAGCTTTGCTAAAAGACACTCTCTTCCTGTGACCTGAGCATTCAGCATCCCATAACTTGGCAGTTTGAAGGACTAAAAAAAAAAAAATTAACTGCTTCTATACCCTAAACTGAAGTTATTACCTCCAGGGGCTACAAAGCAGCAGTCTAGCAGAAAGATTGCTCACAGCCCCAGGCTCTGCCAAAGACCAGCTTCATCTCCTCTCACTCTTGGCCTTGCTCCCTTTGCCTCCTGGCAGCACCTCCAGCACATCACACACCCTCAACCTCAGGGCCTTTGCACTTGCTCTCTACCCCCAGATATCCACAAAGCTTGTTCCTTCACTTTAAGTCTGCCTAAGTGTCACATCTTTCTGAGATGTTGTTAACCATCTTAAAAGGGTACCATCAACATCCTGCTTTTTCTTTCTTTCTCTTCTTTTTGTAGCTCTCACAACCATCAAGGAATGACACCTTGCCAGGTTGGTACTCGGGCATCTCAGCAAGTGCTGAACACTCCCTCAACCCTGAGACCCTTTCTTGCTTGGCTTCCCTCATATCACCCTGTTTCTCCAGCTCTTTTGATCACCCTTTCTTGGTAGGTTTTCTAAAGAAAGGTTTCTCTCTTTTCACTTTAAACACAATGTCCTGGGCGGTCTCATTCATATGCATAGTTCATGTACTTGAGAACTTGTAAGTGTCTGCAGACCCATCTGTCTATTGCCTCCTGACAGCCTGGCTCTCACTGGGCACACTCAAATCTAAAGCTCCAATGCCACTTTCCTCTTCTGCCTGTGTTACCCTTCTTTCTGATTGGCTCCAGCTTTCCTACGGCTGCCTGAACCAAAACAGGACATCGCCCCTGATTCCTCCCCCTTCCATCATCCCTACATCTCATGAATCGATTTGGACTATGGATTCTGCCTCCTAAATAATTGTTTCTCTCCAGCTCCAAGGTTCATTGCCTGTATCTGAGACCTGGGCTCTCAGCGTCCCTGACCACCATCAGTTCCCACTGTGATTCCCAGCAGGGCTTTCTTTCTGCCTCCCCAGCCTACGATCCTTTCTTCCCTCTGCAGTTGGAATTTTTTTTTTTTATCCTCACCCAAGGACATTTAAAAAAATTTTTTGTTCAGATAGAGTGGGAGGGAGAGAGAGAAAGAGAGAGAGAGAAACATCGACGTGAAAGGACACATCAAGTGGCTGCCACCCGCACGACCAACCAGGGCCGGGGACAAACCGCAACCGAGGTACGCGCCCTTAGCGGGAACCGAACCCGGGTCTCTCAGGACCGCAGGCCGACGCTCTAACCGCTGAGCCAAACCGGCCAGGGCTGGAATTTTTTTCTATGAGCCAGAGCTTCTGCTTAATACCAGTCACTATCTCCCCATTATTTTGAGAACAAAACTCTTATCTTTTAAAGATAACATTCAAGCTTCATGGTAGTGTCCCTGCCTGTCATTCCAGTCTCCCCTGTCATCTCTCCCCACCCACCCACCCACATACACTCATGTCCCAGCTAAGGCCATCTCTTAGTTCTTCACACATCCCTCCAACTTAACCCCAGCCTTTCCCCTACAATGCTTTCCACTTACCTATGTTTCGGGTCTTGGCTTAAAGATCAACTCCACTACCCCAGACCCCTGCCCATCCCCCAAAGTCAGGCTTGCCCCTCCTGGGTCTCACAGCTGCCCGTCCTTATTGCCACTGTTCAGACAGCTCATTTCACCCATTTTCTCACCGGACCTCAAAGACAGAAATGACATCTTATTTATTGGGGTGTTCATCATAGACCAACAGTTTCTTAAAATAGTGGGACACGCTAAAACTTAGAAGGAAGAAGTCAGAGTCGTTGGACAAGTTTATTGAAGCTGAGAGGTTTTCCCACCACCAAGATGGTTTCTGGTGCCCGCTGTATGACATCTCTCTGGCCACAGGCCCCATCACCAAATCGGGACAGACTCACACCTGTTTGTTCTGGACTGTGAGTTGGCTCAGCTGCAGCCCCACGTGCTGTTGCTGGATCCGCTCAGGCCCTCTGGAAGGTCTGCTTGCACACTTGGCCCTCGCAGAACATTTCCTAGGGGTGGGGAGGCAGGGCAGATGACAGGAGATGGCATGGCGTATGTTGTTATCCACAACCCTCTGACACCCGATGAGTGGGGATCTTTCTTCCTGACACCAAAGGTGTGCTGTCTTTGCCACGCCCCTTCTCCAGCGCTGACTCCAGCTGGTATCCAGGAAGTCAACTCAGTCCTGACACTAACAACCCAGAGTTAGTGCACAGCCCACAGGTGAAGGGCTCACTGCCCCCACTTCAAACGTCAGTTGCAAGTCCCAGGCCATCTATACTTCTGACGAACCAGTTATAAATTGGGGGCTCCCGTGACTCCCTCCTGAAGGTCAATAATTTGCTAGGATGGCTCACAGAACTCAGGAACATGCTTCACTTACATGTACAGGTGTTTTACATGTACAACTCAGGAACAGATGCACCAGAGAAGATACTGGGGTGGGGGGAGCTTCCATGCCCTCTCCCACTGCAATGTTTTCACCAACCCAGAAGCTTCTGAACCCCTTCATTAAGGGGGGGTTTATGGAGGTCTCACTACATAGGCATGATTAACTGAATCATTGGCTACTGGTGATTAACTCGACCTCCAGCCTCTTCCTCTTCCCAGAGGTCAGGAGCCAGGCTGAAATTCCCAACCCTTCTGTTGTTCCTTGACCTACCTGGTGATCAGCCCCCATCCTGAAGCTGTCTAGGGACCCCCATCACCAGTCATCTCATTAGCATACAGAAGACACTCTTATTTCTCTGGAAATTCCGAGGGTTTTAGAAACCAGGTACAAAGACCAAATATTTATTTTTTATTACATCACAGAATGTGAGAATTGTCCTGTGAGTACCCTTAGGGCGAGGGTCCTTCCATGCTCTGCTTGGGCAGAGTCAGTCGCTGGATATGCCAAAGGAGGACTCACGCAGTTCGAACATGGCTTCTTACCGCCCACTAATCTGAATTCTTAAGCAAAGTTGTACTTTTTTTCTTTTAATCCTCACCTGAGGACATTTTCCCATTTTTTTGTTCAGATAGAGTGGGAGGGAGGGAGAGGAAGAGAAAGAGAGAGAGAAACATCAACATGAAAGGGACACATCGAGTGGCTGCCACCTGCACGACCCAAGCAGGGCCGAGGACAAACTGCAACTGAAGTACATGCCCTTAGCAGGAACCGAACCTGGGTCTCTCTGGACTGCAGGCCGAAGCTCTAACTGCTGAGCCGAACGGGCCATGGTGAGGTTGCTGGTTTGATTCCCGGACAGGGCACATGCCCAGTGGGGGGCATGCAGGAGGCGGCCAATTGATATTCTCTCTCATCAATATTTCTATCTCTCTCTGCCTCCCCCTTCCTCTCTCTCTAAAATCAATTTAAAAACATAAATTAAAAAGGTAATGATGAGCCTGGCCAGTGTGGATCAGTGGTTGAGCATCGACCCATGCACCAAGAGGTCACTGGTTCAATTCCCAGTCAGGGGACATGCCCAGGTCGTGGGCCTGATCCCCAGTGTGGGGCATGCAGGAAGCAACCAATTGATGTTCTTTCTCATCGGTGTTTCTATCTCTCTCTAAAGTCAATAAAGAAAAAAAAAATTAAAAAAAAAAGACAATGATGAGCCCTGGCTGGTTTGACTCAGAGGTTAGAGCGTCAGGTTGTGGACTGAAGGAGTGTGGGTTCGATCCCTGGTCAAGGGCACATACCTGGATTGTAGGTTTGATCCCCCAACCCTGTCTGTGCAGGAGGCAACCAATCTCTCTCTCTCTCTCTCTCTTTCTCTCTCTCTTTCTCCCCCTCCCTCCCTCCCTCCCTTCCTCTCCCCCCCCCTCCCTTCTGCTCTATATAAAAATCAATGGGAAAATATGCTTGGGTGAGGATTAACAATAAATAAATATATATATATAAATGGCATTGATGAATGTGCCTCGACAACATGATCCCTCTGTGAATTCTTCCTAAGGGAATAAGACCATGGATGCAAAAAACTCCATGTCCATGAATGGAAGCAGCAGCAGCAAACACCCTGAAACAATACTCTGGACACTTTTAAGAACATGGTTTACTAAGATGAGAGTCCATTAACCTGATGGAACATCATGCAGCCAGATTGCTACTTTTGTACATATATATTCAATTAATACATGGTAACGTCAATAGGAAAGTTATTTAGAAACCTGGAATATGTTAATTTTTTTAATCCTCACCTGAGGATATTTTTCCATTGATTTTCAGATAGAGTGGGAGGGAGAGAAACATCGACGTGATAGAGACACACTGACTAGTTGCCTCCTGCGTGACCCAACCAGGGCCGGGGACCAACCACAACCGAGGTACGTGCCCTTGACCAAAATCAAACCCACGACTCATTGGTCCGCGGGCTGACACTCTAACTGCTGAGCCAAACTGGCCAGGGCTAGAATATGTTTTTATATTAAATAAAAAGGCAGAAATTCTGACAGGCTAGAAGGTAACATGCCAAATAGAAAAATGTTGGGTTGGAATAATAGGGCTGCTGGTCACGTTTTCCTTTCTAACATTTTCTTCAATACCATATCATCTCACTAAAAATAAGCAATGTGGCCATTACCAGGTGGAGCTTGTCGCCTTCAATCCAATGGGTCCAGCCTCTGTTCTTCTTTTCCCCTTTCTGGACACAGGTGAGTCTGTCATTGTCCCAGGTCACCAAGCTCTGCATGACAGAGGGGAGAAAAACTTGATTTATTCTGGCAGGATCCTCGCCTATTACTAAGTACAATGCCAGTTAACCTGGCAAAATGAAGAGCCTACGTTATTACTTGAATCTTTCTTTACCTTGCATTTTCTGTTATCCAGGCCTTTGGTTTCTTCATCAAATTCTTCTCCAACTTTAAATTGAATAAGGTAGTTCCTTAGGCTGCTGTACGTGTGGATGGTGAAAAAATCCCCATTTTGCTCAATCACTTTCTGTGGCTTCAGCAACTTGGCTATCTTACGAGTGGCAAAGTCGATACCTTAAAGACAATTTTAAAAAGAAATCTCAACTTTCGCCCGAGACACCAAAGCAAAGAACTTGGCAACTGTCCTCAGAATCACTGCATTTGATTGCTGGTGTTTGTTTTACAACGTCAATGAAATTTGCTGCTGAGATTGGATCTATAGGGAACGCTACCCTGGCAAACCTCCATCCATGGGCTGATTAAAGTCATCAACAGCTTTCAGGGAAGACTTACTACGCTGGCTGGGCACTTTAAGTTATGGACTTGAAGCTGGGCATGGCAGAAGCAGTTTTGGGAATCCTTCCAGAGGCTCAGGCCCCTAACCAAACCTCAGTCACAGCAACTCTGCCTGTTTCTGCTTTATGTATTTACACTTCAAATTTAAGACAGCATTTGAGCCCAGCCTGGTGTGGCTCAGTGGTTGAGCGTCGACCCCTGCACCAAGAGGTTGCTGGTTCAATTCCCGGTCAGGGCACATGCCCAGGTTGTGGGCCTGATCCCCAGCGGGGGGCATGCAGAAGGCAGACGATCGATGTTTTCTTTCATTGATGTTTCTCTCTCTCTCTTCCTCTCACTTCCTCTCTCTCTAAAATCAATAAAGGAAAAAAAAAAAGACAGCATCTGAGCCCTGGCCAGTGTTTCCAGTGGTTAAAGCATTGGCCTGAACACCAAAGGGTCTTGGGTTCGATTCCTGGTCAAGGGCATGTACCTGGGTCATAGGTTCAATCCCCAGCCCCAGCTGGAGCTTGTTCATGGGACAACCAATCGATGTGTGTCTCTCTCACATCAATGTGTTTCTCTCTTTCTCTCCCCACCTCTTTCCCTCCCTTCCACTCTCTCTAAAAATTAATGGGGGAAAAAATCTTCGGGTCAGGATTAAAAAAAAAAAAAAGACGGCATTTGGATAGCTTCTGAACAACAACTATAAAAATAACAAACTCAAAAACCACTGCAATCATGCAGATAATTCTATTCATTTAGAAATCTTGAATAAGCTTGAAAAAAGATCATACATGAAAACATGGAATACTAAGAAGATCGGCATTTTGGTATATAGAAAATGGATTTTAATCCCATTTCTCATTTATTAGCTTTGAGCACCTTATGTGGCCAGAGGTTGTAAATGCTTGCTCCCCGTTCTTCAGGAATTTATAACCACGAACGATGGGGAAACAGGGGAATCTAAATCTCCCTTTAAGAAGAGGATCTTCTCCCATCAGAGGAAAATTGAAAACAACCTTCTTGAACCTAAAAGCACTTCGATTATTTGTGCCACAAATCCCTCTATATACCATGTGCTGAGTTTAAAAAGAATCTGAATGTAAGAGATTGAATAATTCACTGAGCACTTTGTTAATTTAAATATTTAACTGGGACAAAGACCTCAAGCTAAGCTCTGTTTTCAGCCAAAAGGGATAGATCGCCTGGTTGTATTTTCCTTCCATCCCATGAACGAGATAAGGACTTTCTGGTTTTTATTACAGGAGCCATCTTTATTCACCTGAAATACAAACCTCTGTGTTTAAAAAACACTTTTTAGTTCACTGTGTAAAGTTATAAGACATCGCTCAGATGGAGAGAATGTTAATACAAAATATACGTAATCCAACAATTGAATTTACAAGGAGCTTTCATTTTTTAAAGTGAAGTATAGGATTTCTACCAAAGTCTCCTTGTAATTCTTTTTTTGTAACATATTTTACCCATTTTTAAGCATAAAATTCAGTGGCATTGTGCAGTCACAATATTATGCAACCATGAGCATTATCCACTTCCAGAATTCTTCCATCATCCCAAACAGAAACTCTGTACGTGATGGAGTTCAAGACACACTCCCTCAAGACCTGGCACAACTTGGCATAGTGAATATTTCAAGCCGAAAATATTTGAGAAATGGCTGGTACGGGAAGGCACCTCTGACCTTCCCCTGAAGCAGGTCATAAAACCCTCCGACGAGAGGTGCCCTCCTCATAACAGAGGGAAGGAGCATCCTTACCTTCATCAGCAAGGGACACAGAGAGGAACCTGAAAGACGGGTCTTGCTAAGTTTCTAAGTTTGATTACTTTTGAGTTCTAGAATGTGTTTTTTGTTTGTTTGTTTTTTCTTTTCCTTATTGATTTTAGAGGGAGAGGGAGAGGGAGATGGAAACATCGATGAGAGAGAACATTGTTTGGCCGCTTCCTGCATGCCCCACACTGGGGATCAGGCCCACAACCTGGGCATGTGCCCTGACCGGGAATCGAACTGGTGACCTCTTGGTGCATGGGTCGATGTTCAACCACTGAGCAACACCGGCTGGGCTGATGCTACTTTTCATAGATTCTGTTTCCCTGCCAAAATTAAGTTCAGCATAACTGCTTTATAGTCTATTTCTGACTATCGTCTATTTCCAGTGTCTGGAAACCCTGTTTCTGTTGTTTATTTCTATTGAGTCCTACTACTGGAGTCTTTATTTTTCAGCTTTGCTGAGGTATACTTAATATACAAAAACTGCACATACTGTATTTAATGTAGGCAATTTAATGAGTTTGGACATATGCAAATACCTGTAATACCATCACCATAAACAAGGTAATAGTCATATCTGATAACACCTCCCAGAGTTTCCTTGTCATGGTGTCTTATCTCGTAGATACTTGATAACTTTGATTGTTTACTGAACATTGTATGGAGAAGTTATTTGTGGTAACAATTTAAGATTTTGCATGTTCTTTTCTCCAAAGAGGTGTTTTTTTAATTTTATTTCTTTTAAGGGCACTAGCTCTCTAGAGGTGCCTTCATTCAAGTTCAGGTCTTGAGATTTTTCTGGACCACAATGATGATTCCAAGTCAGACAACAGTCTATTCAAAAGCTATTTATTTCCAGGTCTCCCTTTCTCCCCTGGAGTAGCTTTTCAGAGAAGTAGCCCAAAGTAGGTGTTTAGAGGGTCTCTACCATTGACTGACTTGGGACTCCAATTTATGCCCCCCTAACCCCATGAAGCTCCCAAAAGTGTAGCTTAGTCTCACGACCACCCTGAAGGTAAGAGGCATCTGAAGTGCTGGGCTCACCTGTCTGGATTCTTACTCTCTCCCAGACCTCTCAGCCTGATAGTTCTTTATTATTCTGATAGTTCTCTGAAGTTCCATAAGGAGATTATATCTTAGTCTAGCTGTCATCAGTGAAAGTTAGTACAAATAACTTGTTTGCCATTACCAGAAGGAGAAATCCCCAAGAAAAGTCCAAAATTTTCTGTGTAAGTTGGCATCAGAACATACATAAGTAGGGACAATACGTTTTACAGTATTTATAGTCTGCAAGTTGTCCCATGGATGACTTGATATATCAAAGAATAGCACCTCTTAAATTCCCATTTGCATCCGAATCACCTGAGAATCTGATTATGCAGATTCTGATGGCACAGATCTGGGATCCTATCTGAAGCAGCTCTTTCTGGTCCTTGAGGAAGGAGATCCTAGACTCATCTGGCCCCAAGCCCATTATTTGGCCAGGGGGAGATGGGTGGACTCTGGACTGTGTGTTTTTTACATGTGGAGGGCAGCAGAGAGTGCGTGCCACACGCACACACGCACGCGGGCCAAATAATTTTCTTCTCAGCTTGTTGGGAATTGGCAGTAGGTTTCAGGGCTGATTTCAGCTATTGTATAAAATGCTAAGCAACCCCTTGGTTTTTAATTTAGATACTCTTAGAATATCAGATCTGGTCCAACCACCCCATTTAACAGATGGGAAACTAAAGGAACAAAGAGATTATCAAGTGCTCACTATCTGGGTCTGATGCTCTGTTCTACTAAGTAGCCTCTACTCCAGAAATTCCTAGTGCATTTCTTTTTCTTTGGGAAAATAGACATTAAATGTTAATGTATTGCCCTGGCCAGTTCGGCTCAGTGGTTAGAGTGTCAGCTGCGGTTCATAGGGTCCCAGTTTGATTCCTGGTCAAGGGCACGTGCCTGGGTTGCAGGTTTGATCCCCAGCCCTGGTCGGGCTCATGCAGGAGGCAACCAATTGCTGTCTCTCTCACATAGATGTTTCTCCCCCCCGCCCCAACTCTCTCTAAAAATCAATGGAAAAATATCCTCCGGTAAGGATTCACAACAACAACAAAAAAGTTAATGTATTGTTTGGGTCCAATCTCTTTCTGGAACCTGAACCAAAATAAGAAAAGGAGTTGCAAGGCAGGATGTCGACTCAACACTCTATGGCTTAATGTAAATAAATAAATAGCCCTTGTTAGCTTCCAGGGTCTAATACAATGGCAGGTGACAGATAAGCCTCTATTGAAATCAGTGGGGAAAGTGTCAAACAGGAGAGATCATAGCAGAGTGTGCAGAAAAGCAAGACAGTGAAGGATTGCTTTTCTGGTTCCTTCTCTAAGAGGTTTGCTCTCAAAGCCATGGAAATTGCTAAACAGGAAGCACAGTTACTAAACAAGGCACAGTTCAAAGCCGTCACCTGATTTTTAACACTTTCTCCTCCACACAAGTAGTCAGATACTAGCCAGAGAAACCAAGGAACAAATGGTCACATGTCACCACTAATTTGGGGTGGAGAGATTAGTAAAATATCAGGAATTACTCCCATTGGGGAAAAGAAGCATTAATTCCTCCTTATGCACTGCAAACGATGAGGAAACGAGATTCAAATGAAAGGGTAGCAGGCCCTGGCCGGTTTTGCTCAGCGGTTAGAGTCTCGGCCTGCGGTCCAGAGAGACCCGGGTTCGGTTCCCGCTAAGGGCACGTACCTCGGTTGCAGTTTGTCCCTGGCCCTGGTTGGTCGTGCGGGTGGCAGCCACTCGATGTGTCCCTTTCACATCGATGTCTCTCTCTCTCTCTGTTCCTCGCTCTCCCTCCCACTCTACCTGAACAAAAAAAAAAAATGGAAAAATGTCCTCGGGTGAGGATAAAAAAAAAAGAAAAGAAAGAAAGAAAGGGTAGCAGAATATGGGACCCCCCAAATATGCCAGTTTGGCACATTGGTTCCTTTGAGCTGAAGACCACTGGGAAGAAGCAGATAGAAGGAACGCTCTCTGCCCTCCTCCACTTGCCTGAAAGAGGTCATCAATTTGTAAAGATTGTCCCTGTTCGTACACCCAGACCCAGGCTAAGGTCTCAGGACTGAAAATCTACCTTTGTAAGTGGAGGGCAGGAGAGACTGAAGAAGGGGGCCGGCCACTTCCGCCCGGTAATTAACAGAGTTTATTAAGGGGAACTTACATGCAAGGCATGTCTTGGGTAGCTACAAGGTGAAATGAATCCCCTCACTGCTTGGCAGGTGCCAAAGAATTGTATAGGGTAAAGTAAGGGACAGTCACATAAATGCTACCAGGTATGGGAAATCATGTTACATGCCTGACCAGGTCAGGACAATAACCTGTTCCAGCACATGGCAGGACGCTTGGGGAGGGGCGCTGATTTTTGTCAGAATGATCAAGTATGATCAGACAATCAGAAGTGGGGTTTACAGAAAGTGACCTCCTTTCTGGCCCGGCTTGTAGGACAGACATCGGTCATATCATGGGACGGTCTCTCTTCCACACTCCCCGCTCCCATCTGTACTAGGATGGACAGAAGTTAGGGAGACCACTCTAGACTCATCAGTCTGGAGATGGCATGAGAAGCATCTACATAATAAACTTCACTAACTAGCCTTTATTTTCCCTTAGTTTTCCCATATATTTACTTTCCCATTACTTGCCACCCTGGAAACTCAAAGTCCTTTTGTCTTGTCACTTCTCTACAAAAGTATGACTCTGCTAAGATGCTGTATAAGCTCAAGTTCTAACCACTCCTTTGAGATACTCATTGCTGAGTGCTCCCGTGTATATGCAGGATGAAGGTGTTAAACCTCTGTCTGTCTGTCTGTCTGCCTCTTGTTAATCTGTCCTTTGTTAGTCTAATTTACAGGCCACAGCCAATGAAGCAGATGGGCAGAAGGAAAATATGTATTTTTCTTCCCTGCAAGGTTTTGTGTCGCTATAAATCAGATTTTACTCAGAAGTTCCAGACTTCCCTACTTAGTGTGAGAAGGGGAGGGGAGGAAACCCTACCACGGGCTCAGAGATCTGAAAATTACACCGGAATGTACAGAACTGGTACATTTCTAAATGGTTACAATGGCTAATTTTCTGTAATACATATTTTACCACAATAAAAAATTGGACTCCCGGCTCAATTTACAGATGGAGAAACTGAGGCGCGGTGTCTGATAAGGGGGCGGAGCCAGAGCAGCCCCCAAGCCCCCATACTCCCAGCAACTCTGACCCATCTGTCAAAAATGCCACCGATTGTTGTCATTTAGTCAAAAGCACTTGATACAAAGTAGGTGCTGGGATCCATCAAATCTGAAGAATGAGACTCAGGGCAGGACAAACTGGGGTTGGGAAGGAAGGAAGGCCTTCTACCCTTAGGGCGGGAAACATTCTCCAGCCCCCTGGGAAGCAAGGACATTGGTCAGACCCTGCTGCCCCCGACACACCCCTGAGGGCCGGCTTGGTCCCTCGCTCCGTGTCTCAAAGGGCAGGCGGGCGACCGAAGGGACACTTCCAGGCACTGACCGACCCTCCTCCGGCTGGAATTGCGTCCCAGAGGCGGGGAGCGAGGAGAGGGGAGCGGCCTCTAAGGGGCCTGGGTTTCTTGACCCCACGGAAGTCCTCGAGGGACGAAGTGAAGTCAGAAACTAGAGGTGTCCACCGTGGTTCGGAATCTGGCGGCACCGAGTCACCTGGGGCGGGGCTGGGAGCCTGCGTCGGCGGCGGGAGCTCCTACCTGCGTCCCGGAGAAGCTCCAGGCGAGGCTGATGCTGCGGGACGGGGACCGCCCTGGGGGCACCCCTGGGCGACTGCCCAGAGCCCCACGTTAAAGGCGGCTGGGGGGCGAGGGGCGCCCGGGGAGGGGCTTCGGTCCGGGGCGCCCCATCACATGGCCGAACCCCCATCGTGTCCCTGAGTCTTCTTGCGAGGTGTCTCACGCCACCCGCGACTCCGCCCACGCCCACGCCACGCTGGGACAGGAGCGAGACATCGTGGAGGGGACGAGGAAGGACGGGAGCGGGGAGCAAGGACGGGGGCGATCAGCCGGGCGAGGGGCAGGGAGTGGGGGAGACGGAGGGCTGGGGAACAGGCGAATAGACGGGCGGACTGGCAGACAAACTGGGTCGGTAGACGGAAGGGTAGACGGGGGACAGGGGGACCAGAGGAGGCGGAAGACAGAGGACAGGGGGACGCGGCAGCCGGGGAATGAGCGGACGGATGGGTGGACCGAGGGATGCAGGACAGACTGGGGGACTGGCAGACGGACGCGCGGGGGGACGAACAGACGCGGGAAGGAGGGACAGGGAGCCCAGCTGCTTTCGCTCCGACCCGAGACGGCGCGGCCGCCAGCGGCCCCTCCTGCCCCTCCGCCTACCTAGGGCCAGCATGTAGCCCTCGAAGTTGTCGCTGCTGAGCAGGTTCCAGGTGCCGCTGAGGTCGGCGGGCATGGCGAGGCTGGGGGCGACACCCGGTGGGCGGGCAGCGCGCGCTCGGCCCTAAATGCTGGGCCGGGGAGGCGGGACCGGGCGGGACCGCGCGGGGCGGGGCGGCCAGGGGAGCCGGGACACTCTCCGAGAGGCCCAGTCCCTCCTGGTTCCTTGGCCACGTGCTCCTGGTTTTCTGCTACCGCCCTTGGAAACTCCTATTTCCCTTGAGCCTTCCTCCTCCTCCAACCCCAAACGCGCGCACACCCCCAGCTGTGACCAAGGCCACACTTGTTTCTCTGTCTACATGTTAAGGACCAAGGGATCGCCTTCAAATTCATGGCATTAATTGCGGTGTCAGCTGCAAATAATATATTAACAAACCCAACTCTGGTGGTCTCAATAAATAGAGATTTGTTTTTCTCATCTGTCAAGCAGTCCTGGGCTAAGTGGCTGCTGGCGCGATTTGGCAACTCCACACCTCGGAAGTGGCTTCTCTGAGTCTTATTCTGGTTCCTTAACACCTTACTGTCAACGAGGTGGCTGCTAGGTTTGCAGCCCGGACATCCTCATTCAAGGTGGGGATCAGGAAGGAAAGCACCACCTGCCATGGTCACTTCAGGTTTTTCTTTACATTCATTGACCAAAGCTGGTGTCATATGCCACTGCCAGCTGCAAAGGAGCCGGAGGACCTAGCATCTAGATTTAGCCTGGACAGTAGAGAACAGCAGAAGGGAAGGGGGCTGGCAATGTGGGCTAACCTGGAACGTTAGCCACAAACGCCATCTACATGGGTCGTTTCGAAGATTTATACGTTCATTTCTGACCCCTCGCATGAGCTCTAGACTGAAATATAGTAACAGCCAACATTTATTGAGTGATTACTATGTGTATGATATCATGTGTCACAAAATCCCACTCCATTCGACAGAGACAAAAACTGAGACAAAGAGGTTGGTAACTTGCTGAAGGTCATATAGTTGTTGGAAGAGTCTGGATTTAAACCCAGGCGACCTGACTTCCCGAACTCATGTGCCGGCAGTTACTGCCTATTTGATGTCTCCACCTGGACGTCTTAAAGGAATCTCAAACTTAACACACCCAAGACAGAAAGCACAGAACAAAAGTATTCTCCAGCTTCCCTCATCTCTGTCAGTTGCACCACTAGTCACCTGGTTGCTCAAGCCAAAAGCCCAGTAGATATTATGGATTGCTTCCTTTTCTGCTCACCTGTTTCCAACACATTAACAAGGCCTGCTGGTTCTGCCATCCTAACCCAAACCTCTATCGTGTCTTGCCTCCTCCCCGGACTTGCCGTGTTCGCTCGGATCCCACCAAACTGTTCTCCAGACACTGCAATCAGAGTAAGCTTTTGAGAAATGTGCTTCAGATCTCATCACTCCCCTGCGTAAAACCCTTCAGTGTTGTCCTATTTTTCTTAAGTGGAAATTTGCACCCTCTGCTGTGGGTCATAAAGCTATTCCTGCTTTGGCTTCTGGATACTTCTCCGACAGTGTTACATTCTGACTCTGGACCCCCAGTCCCACCAGTTTTGTTGTGGTCGTGGTTCTGAGCAGAAGTCTAACCCTTTCCTTCTTCAGGGCCTGTAGATAGTGCTCCCTCTTCCTGGGATGTTTTTCTTCTGGGTTTTGCATGGCTGGCTTCTTTGGCTTCCAGTTCAAAAGTTACTAGAGCCGACGCTGTAACCATTGAGCCAAACCGGCCAGGGCTGAAGTATAGTTTTCTAATCATGCTCTCCACAGAGAGGAATGTTCCTTGAATACCCTGGCCTCTTCCAAACCCTTACTTCCTCCTCATGGAGGTGGAATGATTTACCTGTTTGAGAGCAAGTAGGGCAGCCGTCACCCTAATTTCCCTAAAATGGAAAGAGTGCCCAGGATGTGAACCTGTCACTGCTGAAACTGGAAAGGTTTGGGACAACCTTCATGACTTGCTTGCCAATGATCCATTTTTATCAGCTCGGCAGTGAATCCATCAAAACTTCTAAATGCCGGGTATTTAAATTAAAAAAAAAAAATGTTTTTCTTTAATGATTTTAGAGAGAGAAGAAAGGAAAGAGAGAGAGAGAGAAACATTGATGAGAGAGAACATTGATTGGCCGCCTCCTGCATGCCCCCTATTGGGGATCAGGCCCACAGCCTGGGCATGTGCCCTGACCAGGAATGGAACCAGCAACCCCTTGGTGCAGGGTTGATGCTCACACTGGCCACACTGGCCGGGCTACCCCCTCTTTTAACATGGACTTGAGGACCCAATCTTTCCCTCAGGTAGGCTGTTCCAAAGTCTAAACTGGGGGAATTAGTGTTTAAATTATTATCTGCCCCCAATGTAATGGCTAAAAAATAACAAAAACCATTAATTTGCTCACAAATCTGCAGTTTGAGCAGGGCTTATAGGAGACGGCTCATCTCAGCTTCATGAGGCATCAGCTGGGGTCACTTGACTTCTGTTTGGGGGCCTGGAGAAGTCACTTCCCAAATGGCTCAGTCTCCGGGCTGGTAAATGGGTGCTGGCTAGTTCTTAGCTGGAAGCCCATCCTGGCCTGTGGGCCGGGGCCAGGTCCCTCTTCATGTGGGTGCCTTCACAGCATGGGTGGCTGGCTGGGTTCTGAGAGGGAATGTCCCAGGAGAACTAGGAAGACGCTGCACTACCTTTTCCGACCTAGTCTCAGAAGTCAGTGGCATCACGTCCACCAGGGTCATAGACCTACCCGGATTCAAAGGGAGGCACATGGACTGCATCTCTCAGTGTCACAATGTAAGAGTGTGTGGGATGGGAGATCTTAGAATGGCCACCTTTGAAAACACAATCCGTCATGGGCACCGATCCCTCTTTTGCACTTCACACTAAGTTATGATTTCTAACCTAGACTTTATTAGTAATAGAGCGCAGTTTCGGTTCTCCATTTATTTATTTTTTTTCCATCTTATTCTTCGGTGGTTTAGAACTTGGACAGAGAAAGCCTTGGGTGTCTTAAAAAATCTTGCCCTGGTCAGTTTGGCTCAGCGGTTAGAGCATCGGCCTGTGGTCCAGAGAGACCCGGGTTCGGTTCCTGCTAAGGGCATGTTTCTTGGTTGCAGTTTGTTCTGGCCCTGGTTGGGTCGTGCGGGTGGCAGCCACTCCCTGTGTCTCTTTCACATCAATGTTTCTCTCTCTCTCTCTCTTCCTCTCTCTCCCTCCCGCTCTGTCTGAACAAAAAATGGAAAAATGTCCTTGGGTGAGGATAAAAAAAAATCTCATAACTTCACCTTTTCAGAACAGAATTTGATATAATTCCAATGTACATTCACTCCACATCACATCTCTGCTTACTACCTTCACGATTGTCATAATCCATAACTCTATTTTTGGTTTGTTTGTTGACTGCCTTTTTCCTTTTATAAGTTTGTTTATTGATTTTAGAGGGAGAGGACTGGAGAGAGGGAGAGAGAAACATCGATTTGTTGTTCCACTTATTTATGCATTCATTGATTGATTCTTGTATGTGCCCTGATGGGGGGTCAAACCTGCAACCTTGTCACATCCGGACGACACTCTAACCAACTGAGCTACATGGCCAGGGCCTGTTGACTACCTTTGTCATTAAAATTTCAAGGGCAGAGACCATGCTCATCTCATTCACCACTATAGCATCCCCAGGGCCTAGCACAGTGCTTGGCAAGTGTCCAGTAAATGTTTGTTGAATGAATGGCTACAACCTTTTCTAAAGGACAAACGCCATTTTTTTCTGAGAAAACAGAGTGGCATTGCCTTGCCTTGCCCAGAATGAGGCTGTTGATTCTTGTAACTATAAGACATTGATTCCTTTGATGGAATCTGACAGGCTGTTTTCAAAGCCTGGAATTAGCTATACCTGCCATTTAATGGGCACAAACTATGAACTCTGACCAGATTTCTGGAGCATAGAGCCTGTTTAAGTTCCAGATAAGCAGGATATGGAAAAATCATACTTACTTCCTATCCTTAAAATCTTATTGTTCTAAATCTTGGCCAGAAAATGAAAGTCACAGAAATAACTAAAAATGACTTTAACATTTGCGCTGGTTGGTATGGCTTTGGGCCAGCCCGGGCAAGGGTCATCTAGCAGGGATAAGGTTGAATTTTGGTTCAGGTGGCATCAATTGGACTCGCCCTGGGGATAAGGAGTAATTTTCTCCTTTATAATTCTAAAATCTTTCTTCCAGACAAGGACAAAATTATCTCTGGAAGGGAAAGAAGGTACAAATTTGACCAAATTCGAGCACTTTCTTTCCTTCCTTTTGATACTAGCAAAAGTAAACCATAAAATGATAGCCAAGATGCTTTGGCCAGTTTGGCTCAGCAGTTAAAGCGTCGGCCCGCGGACCAGAGTCCTGGGTTCAGTGTCCACTAAGGGTACATACTTTGGTTGCAGTTTGTCCCCAGCCCCGGTTGGGGTTGTGTGGGTGGCAGCCACTCCATGTGTCTCTCTCACATCGATGTTCCCCTCTCTCTTCCCCCCTCTCTCCCTCCCGCTCTACCTGAAGATAAATGCAAAAATGTCCTCAGGTGTGGATAAAAAAAAAAAAGATAGCCAAGATGAGGTCCTAAACCTGTGTTCAAACACTGCTCCTCCTACCCAGTAATGGATGGGAAGTGATGAGGGGTAATGGTGGGCGGACCACTCTTCTGTCACTCCGTGGAGACTGATACTAGTCCCGCAAAGAATGGGGTGACCCTGGCCGGTTTGGCTCAGCGGTTAGAGCTTTGGCCTGTGATCCTGAGAGACCCAGGTTTGGCTCCCACTAAGGGCATGTGCCTCGGTTGCAGTTTGTCCCCAGCCCTGGTTGGGTCATGTGGGTGGCAGCCACTCGATGTGTCCCTTTCATGTCGATGTTTCTCTCTCTCTCTTCCTCTCTCTCCCTCCCACTCTATCTGAACAAAAGAAATGAAAAAATGTCCTCGAGTGAGGATTAAAAAAAAAAAGAATGGGGTGGACGCTGTGGTGAGCCTCACAGCGTCCATGCCTCCCCTCCCCAGCGCAAGGAAGCAATGCCCTCCAGGAGCTTGGCCCAGTCCAGGGTTAA